TATCTTGTACACCTAAAACTAATATAATATTATATGCCACCTATAATTAAGAAGAAAAAACAAGTAATATTCTCTCCCTGAATTCATTATGAGCCAAAAGGAACAATGTAGTACATAGTCAAGAAAAGCATAACCAAACAAAAGTTAACTATGACCCTTTCTGGGTCATATCCCAGCACTCTTAAAACTAAATCAAATAGAAGTTTTTGTTGTATATTCAGTACTATAAAATGTGTTCTTGGATTCCTTTAAGTAATCATGGGAGTGCCAGAAAATAATTTACTAGGAAAGGTAAGACTAGAGACTGGATAAGTGGGGAAGATAGGTGGATGTACACCATACTACCTATGTTTATACAACTCCTAACCACTGAAAGCACTTTCACTTTCTTGACCATTTTAGCCCAAAAAGAAACCTCTAAAGTTAGGTGGAATCATTATAATAGGGTGTCCCAAAAACATGTAAACACACATTTTGTTTCTGATAGCTCAATTGATGTTTCTTTCTTTTCACATTTAACTCATTGGAGTTAATTATTCAAAGTGTATATACATACTTTGGGGGACACACTGTATCATCCCTAATGGAGAGGTCCCAAAACTGTGGTACAAAGCAATACTGTACTTTCATGTTCAAGATTAAGGTAATGATAAAGTTAACATTAGAAACCAGAAATCACAATCTATGTTTTTTTAAAAAAATTACATAGACAAATTCTAAATTCAACCACCGCATAAAACAGGGGAAATTAATAACTGAGAAACCAGTGAGACAGGGATTATCACAACAGGTCATTTTGGGACGATACTATAACCTGTGAATGCCGTCTTCTCAAGCACAAAACTACCTATAATGATGTAGGAAGGAAAAGCAAGGACCTGGCCTTACTTAGTACCTCTGATACTGGAAGCAAGTTAGAAAGCAGAGGCGCCAAAACCGGTTTGGCTCAGTGGATAGAGCGTCGGCCAGCGGACTGAAAGGTCCCAGGTTCGATTCCGGTCAAGGGCATGTACCTTGGTTGCGGGGACATTCCCAGTAGGGGATGTGCAGGAGGCAGCTGATCGATGTTTCTCTCTCATCGATGTTTCTAACTCTCTATCTCTCTCCCTTCCTCTCTGTAAAAAATCAATAAAATATATTAAAAAAAAAAAAAAAGAAAGCAGAGGCAATTCAGCAAGGACTAAGCACCATGACCGAGTGTTCCCAATTCCATTGGAAGAGACTGCCTTTTCAGTGTCCTAAAACTGCTGCTCTCATCTTTCCCTCTCTTTGATTTTAAACAAAGCAGGATCAGATCAGACTGCTAACCTCAGGAATAGCAAGAAATCCATTTAGGATTTCTGCAAATTGTGTATCTGGATGCAAGATCCCATTTTCTACTAAATGTTAAGTCTATAGGACAAAACTTATCTATATACCAGAGGCCCAGTGCATGAAATTCATGCACAGGTAGGGTTCCTAGGCCTGGACAGCGATCAGGGCCTTCCGGCTGCCAGCGGGGCCTTCCTTCGTTCTGCGCCGCCCATTGGTGATCAGCACAGTCATAGCGAGCAATTGAACTCCTGGTCTCTTGGTCGAACTCCCGAGGGGACACTTTACATATTAGCCTTTTATATATATAGGAAATATAAAAACCTAAGCAACTGTTATGAATGAATGACTGGAATGACCAGTCCACCAGTCGCTATGATGCGCATTGACCACCAGGGGGCAGACGCTGAATACAGGAGTTTCCCCCTGGTGGTCAGTGTGTCCCCACAGCCAACCTCCCAGGGTCCCTCCACCTGGCCAGCCAGCCTCCCGATAGGCCTCGATTGCCGACCAGGCCGAGGGACCCCACTCGTGCATGAATTCGTTCACCAGGCCTCTAGTCTACAATAACAGTGTCTCCATACATACACATACATACATACACATACATGTGTATAGACACACACACATGCACATGTGCACACACACATCCTATATAATAAAAGCCTAATATGCTAAGTGTCTGGCCAACCGATTGGCCACTCAACCAATCAAAGTGTAATATGCTAATGATATGCTAAGACCGCTCAACCGCTAAGACATGCACTGACCACCAGGGGGCAGACAATCAACCAGTAGACCTGTCACTATGACATGCATTGACCACCAGGGGGCAGACACTCCAACTGGTAATATACTAGAGGCACTGGGCAAAGAACAAAGCAACTGAGGTAAAGGACAAAGCAAAAGCATGTAACCAATCCGAACTTATTTTCTGGTATCTCTATGGATCTACCAAAAAAAAGAAAAGAAAACATGTTTATAATAATGACCAATAAGTAATACCAAATCTTTAATGTCTGAATCCCCAAAGATTAAATTAAACTAGAATGAATATGATTAAAGGAATATTTTATTGTATTCTAATTCCCTGAATATTGTTAATCTGTGCCTTCACTTTTGCTAGGCTATATCCTATCCCCACAAAGAATGAGCTTTTTCTTCTAGCACTTTGCTAAAACAGTAATTATTATAGTTTCTATTTATTGTTACCGACTTTGTACCACTGTTTTTAAAGAAGGGGAAAAACTATCATCAATGAATATTAGGAATTATTAGGTACTCTGGTTTTAGAAGAATGAGACTTTAAGAACGAGTACAGTGACAAAATCCCTTCTACAGCTCATTTCTGACTGTTAGACTTGTTAACTATATAAGAAATTATCTTACACGTTAATATACAAATGAGGCCCTAACCGGTTTGGCTCAGTGGATAGAGCATCAGCCTGTGGACTCAAGGGTCCCAGGTTCAATTCCGGTCAAGGGCATGTACCTTGGTTGCGGGCACATCCCCAGTAGGGGTGTGCAGGAGGCAGCTGATCGATGTTTCTAACTCTCTATCCCTCTCCCTTCCTCTCTGTAAAAAATCAATAAAATATATTAAAAAATATATATATATATATATATACAAATGAGGAAATAAGCCCAGAAAGGGTAAGGGAATCACTCAAGATCACACAGCAATATAAGTAAGAGAATGACCTAACTTCAAAATTGTCTTTTCTTTGCACAGTATTCTCTCTTACAATCCAAAGAATAGAATAAAGGCAAGGTAGCACACTTTGTATTGAATTCCAAATAGTATAGTTTTAGCTAATATGACATCAACAAGTATTTGGTACTGTTTAAAAGAGATAGAATGTAATAATGTATCATAACCCAAGTCTTTATCTGTTGCTGGATTTATGTTACTATGTAGGCAAAAAGAGTTGAAGAAGGAAAGAAATCCAAAAAATGCATCTTAGTGTTTCCTATGTATTTCATCTCTCAACTAATTCTCAGTATTTTTAAAAATTCAAGCATCAATTTTCAAATACTTACTTGTTTCAAGTTTCCTAGATAGCAGATATAATTGTTAGTTCAAAATCTTAACTACTTATAGTAAATTACCAAGGCATTTAAAAGTTTTCTCTCAAAACCATGAAGGGAATGATAAAAATTCTCTGCATTATCTTCCTTCAGAAAGAAATCCTATATAATAAAAGGGTAATATGCAAATAGACTGAACGGCAGAACAACCAACCAACCAATCAAAACGTAATATGCTAAAGATATGTTAAGGCTGCTCAACCACTTGCTATGACATGCACTGACCACCAAGGGGCAGAGAGTCAACTGGTTGACCAGTCACTATGATGTGCACTGACCACCAGGGGGCAGATGCTCCGACCAGTAGGTTAGCTTGCTGCTAGGGTCCAGCTGATCAGGACTGAGTGAAATGGGCCGGACACACCCTGGAGCCCTCCCGCGGTCCCTCCCCTGCCCGATTGTGCACCATTGGGGTCCCTCAGCCTGGCATGCACTCTCTCGCAATACGGGACCCCCTAAGGGGATGTTGGAGAGCTGGTTTCAGTCTGATCCCGCAGGCCACTCCCCTTGGAAGGGCGCCAGACACAGGGCTCATGGCTGATGAGTGCTGCTGCAGCAGCGTGAGCCTCTCCCAATCGGGACTGGTTGGGCATGAGCCCGTGGCAGGCACAATGTAGCCGGGATGAGCGAGAGCAGCAGCTAGGACAGGGGTGGGCAAACTTTTTGACTCAAGGGCCACAATGGGTTCTTAACCTGGACCGGAGGGCCAGAACAAAAGCATGCATGGAGTGTTTGTGTGAACTAATATAAATTCAAAGTAAACATCATTACATAAAAGGGAATGGTCTTTTTTTTTTTTTTAGTTTTATTCATTTCAAACCGGCCGGATCCGGCCCGCGGGCCGTAGTTTGCCCATGGCTGAGCTAGGAGCTGCAGGCAGTGTTGGACTGCGGGTTTCGGCCCAATCTCCGCAGGCCACCCAGAGGGACCCCACCCGTGCACGAATTCATGCACGAGGCCTCTAGTAGAAAAAAAAAAAGGATTATTCACTGCAGCTGGTCCTGAGGTCAGCAATGGCGTCACTCGTCTGATTTCACTGCTTTTCTGGGCCTGGAGCTGAAATACAACTGAGGCCTAAATGTCATCTGTAAGAAGGAAAGAGCTCTCCTGTAAAGGCCACTGCTCCGAGTCCTTTGAAAGAGGGAGGGAGTGTGACTGTGACAACCAATGTAAGAAGTATGGCAAGTGCTGTTCTGATTACGACGATTTCTGTGAAGTAAAAGATAACAAGAAAGAAGATCCCAAGAAGAAACCTGCCCCGGAACCACCAGTGGTAGATAAAGCTGGAAGTGGATTGGAGGAAAGTGATTCCAAGCCCACCCCAACTCCTGACACGCCCACCACTCAAAGCACTAAAGTTACCACAACTTCCAAGGTTACAACAGTGATAACAGTAAGTCCTAAACCCAGCCCGTCACCGAAACCTGAAACATCCAAAGACACATCTTCAAAAGCAAGTAAGGAGAAAACGGTTGAAACTAAAGAGACTTCTAAAACAACAAAAGAAACTTCAGCTAGTACATCAGAGAAGACGACTTCAGGTAAAGAGACGCGAAGTGCAGAAAAAACATCTAAAGATTTGGAAGCCACATCAGTTTCTGTTAAAACTACAACCGAAGCTGAAACTACAACCACATCTTACACCCACCACTCCTCAAATGCCTTCTCCCACAACCACCACCACCAAGGAACCTACAACCACCCCCAAAACCCCTCCCAGGAACCTACAACCACCCCCAAAAAGCCTGAGCCCACTACCCTCAAAAAGCCCAAGCTCACTACCCCTAAAAAGCCCAAGCCCACCACCGAAATTACAACTGCTACTTCTACAAGTACAACAAAAGAGACAGCAACTCCAAAAGAAGACAAGAGCACTGAATCCCAAACAAGTACAACCAAGCAGGTGACATCTACCACAACCAAGGACACCACATCAGCCAAAGTTACTCCTAAGGAAACAACTCCTGCACCGGAAGTGACTCCAACAGAAGACAAGACCACTGAGTCCCAAACAAGTACAACCAAGCAGGTGACATCTACCACAACCAAGGACACCACATCGGCCAAAGTTACTCCTAAGGAAACAACTCTTGCACCTGAAGTGACAGCTGCAACAAAAAAGACAACTACAACTGAAGAGACTACAAATACGTCTGAAGGCACAGTAACTACATCCAAAGTGACGACTGCTAAATCCCCAAAGCCAACCAAAGCACCCCAAATGCCCACTACCACCAAAAAGCCCAACACAACACCTAAGGTGACAAAACCAAAGCCTACGCCATCTCCCCAAAAGACGACCACATCAACTGGGCCTACACTGAACCCTGCCTCTTCAGAGGAAGCCTTGCTCCAAACCACCAGCTCTAACCAAGCTAGTAACTCAGAAATGACTAAAAAACATCCAAAGAATGAAGATGCAAATGATGCTGAAGGAGAAAAACCTTATGTGATTCTCAGGCTCCCTGTGATAACTCCTCTAATTATCCCAGGAGCTGATTTCACAGTGAGAGGATCCGATCAAGGCATTGGCGTCAACCCCACGCTTTCAGATGAAACCAATTTATGCAATGGTAGGTCAGTAGACGGACTGACGACTCTGGCCAATGGGGCGTTGCATTTCGAGGTCTTTACTTCTGGATGCTAAATCCACTCAGTCCACCAGCTCCTCCTGGTAGAATTACTGAAGTCTGGGGTATTCCCTCTCCCATTGATGCTGTTTTTACTAGGTGCAACTGTGACGGAAAAACTTTCTTCTTTAAGGTAAGAAAAATATCTTTGTAAGAGAAATCAGCAAATAGTTCTTATTTTATGAAAACATAAGTCAGCTTAAATTTCACCTCAGAGGGGTTCCATATTTTAATAAATGACTACCATCAAAATTTAATCAAAAGTTAACACAATTTGGTAGCATTAATGGTCAACTCCGGTTTGGCTCAGTGGATAGAGCGTCGGCCTGAGGACTGAAAGGTCCCAGGTGTGATTCCTCAAGGGCATGTACCTTGGTTGCAGGCACATCACAAGTGGGGGGTGTGCAGGAGGCAGCTAATCGATGTTTCTCTCTCATCGATGTTTCTCTCTATCCCTCTATCTTCCTCTCTGTAAAAAATCAATAAAATATTTTTTTTTAAAAAAAGAAGAGACCAGAATCTGTGTATTTTTTCAAGAGAGGGGGCAGAATTCAGAAGTATACTTATAGACAGGAACCCAACAGGACGTGCCCTGCAAGAAGGCCTGCTCTGAATTATCCAGTGTACGGAGAAACAACACAGGTTAGGAGACTTCACTTTGAACGGGCTGTTGGATCTCAAACACACACCATCAGCATTCAATATTCGCCGCCTGTCAGAGTCCTTTATCAAGACAAAGGTTTCCTCCACAATGAAGCCCAAATAAGTACACTGTGGAGAGGACTTCCCAATGTGGTTACCTCAGCTATATCCCTGCCCAACATCAGAAAACCCGATGGCTACAATTACTATGCTTTTTCTAGGGATCAAGCCTATAACTTGAATGTGCCCAGCAGAACAGCAAGAGCCGTTACTACTCGTTCTGGGAAGACCTTATCCAATGTCTGGTACAACTGTCCTTAGACCGGTGGGCAAAGGAACAGACAAGTAAAACAATAAAATCTGACACTGAAATACCTTTTATTAATAAAGAATGTTGAGATAAGCATACCAATTTAAAAAAATAAAATAAAATAAATTAAAAAAGAGTTTGATATTAGAGATCAGAATGTTATCAGTACTTTTTAAAAATATTATGGTGTTTCAGGCAAATCTGTGTAGGAGTGTAAGTAACAAATATCAAATTCAAGGCTATTTTTCCAATTGAAGTAACCTTATATGAAGTACAAGTAATATCCGAAGCTTAAATAAGAAGCCTAAAGATTCTATTTAGTATGATGATTAAAAGCACTGACTATGAAGCCAGACTACTTTCAGTGCCTTGTTTTCCTCATCTATTAAAACGAGGAAATACCATTCAGAAAGAATACACGCACCCCTATGTTCACATAAGTGTTATTTATAATAGCTAAGGTCTGGAAACAGCCCAAGTACCAATCAGTAGACGACTGGATAAAAAAGCTGTGGTACATTTACATCATGGAATACTATGCATCAGTAAAAAAGAAGGATCTCTTACCCTTTGAGATAGCACGGAAGGATCTAGAGAGTATCATGCTAAGTGAAATAAGCCAGTCAGAGAAAGACAAGTATCACATGATCTCACTCATATGTAGAATTGAATAAACAAAATAAAATGACGAACAAAATAGATCCAGAGACATGGAAGCATGCACCAGATTGATGAATGTCAGAGGGAAGGTGGGGGAAGGGTTGTGGGTGGGAAGTAATCAACCAAAGACTTTGAATGCATATATGCATAACCCATGAACACAGACAATAGGGTGCTGAAGGCCTGAGGCAGGGAGGAGCAGATCAATGGGGGAAAAGAGGAGCACATCTGTAAAACTTTTAACAATAAAGATAAACTTTTTAAAAAGTTTTTTATTCTTTAAAGTATTACATAAGTCTCCTTTTTCTCCCTGATGACCTCTCCCTAGATGCTCCCCACTGCCTAGCACATGCCCGTACCCCCCTACAGCCTGTGTCCATTGGCTATGCTCATATGCATGCATACAAGTCCTTTGGTTGATCTCTTACCCCTTCACCCCTCTCTTCCCTCATAGGTTGGACAATCTGTTCAATGCTTCTATGACTCTGGCTCTATTTTTGTTCATCAGCTTATGTTGTTCATTATATTCCGCAAAAAAGTGAGATCATGTGATATTTATCTTTCTCCGACTATTTATTGTTGAAAGTAATACAGATGCCCCCCCCCCAACACTAACCCTCTCT